AGATCGTGTGTTTCGACTGCCGATAAGCCACAAACCAGTGCCTTGAATCGCCGATAGTGCCTAGAGGTTCACAAACCGCACCCCTCTAAACGATATAATTGCTATAGAATTATGGTGAAAAACTAAAGCAAAGAGGATGAACAAAAGATCTTGAGTTCTTATTAATTCTTGAATGATGCATAATAACATGGGAGAAGGGCCTTTATATAGGCACAAGATTTGTCTAAGTCTAATCTACCTAGGAAAATAATAAAGCAATAAAATATTAAGTATCCTAACCAATCTAGATATTGTAATGCAATAAGGAAACCAAATAGCTAGGGGATCTAATGCCTTGGCTTGCACTCCAAGTAGTCTTGTCTTGCACTCCAAGTAGAAGACTCCTAGCCTTCTCTCTCTCTCTTTCACGCCACCTAGGGCTTCTCCACCGCCTCACGCCTCCTTGCCTTAGGCCTCGAGGACTAAGGTTGTGTCTCCTACGTCCGCCTATCCACTTGCCTCGAGGAGTAAGGTCTCGCGCCTTGTGTACGCTATTCCTATTCCTTGAAGGATCAGACTTTGAGCTCATAACCACCTTGCCTATTCCTACTAGGAATAGGCTCCCGGCTACGTTACCTGATCTTCCGAGGAATACTCTCGTCACTGATCCTTCACGCGCGTTCCGGCACTCAGCTGCTTTTCCTAGTCCTGCGGGGTCTAGGATTCGCGCCATGCCTATTCCTATAAGGACTAGGCTTGCTGCCTTGGCCTTGCCTTGCCCTTCGGGTGCGCACGCGATCGCACCCTTCGCCCGCGTGACTATCTCGTGTGTGTCGCCCATCTTGCCTAAGCCTACTAGGCCTAGGTCTTCGCCCATCTCGCACGCGTCGCCAGCTGCGCACGCGGCTCGTCCATGCGCTGTCTCTCCTTCGCCTGTTCCTACACGGCCTAGGCTTCGCGCGCCTGCGCACCACTCACTCCCCATCGCGCGCTCGCCCATCTGGTTACCCAGCTCTCGCGCGTCCTTGTCATCCACGCGGCCGCTGCCCACGCTCGATAACCCCGCGCGATTCCCGCGCCTGTCCACTGGACCGCGCATCCCACTCCGTGCCCCAGCGTTCCGTTCGCCTGCTGCGAGCCTACATGCGCCCAGCGCTATCCGCGTATCGTCCAACGCCCGATGCGCGCTCGTACATTTACGGAAATCCCTCGTGCGCATCAACCTCCCGACATCCTCCCCCTGCGCACCTTTTCGCCCAATCTCCAAGCGCCATGCGCGTCTACGCCAATGCGCGTATTCACGCCCTTGTCTAATGCGCCCTTTCCTGCGCTCGATAGTCGCCCTCTTACGGACCACCTTTTTGTGTGCCCTTGCATTCCTCCATGTGCTCGATCCTTCTAGCCTTGATCTCTCGGGCTTCTTGCTTGACCTCCTATGCCATTGCGCACGTCGGCAGCCCCGTATACGAGCTCGTGCGCATCTCTTAGGCCACACAAGCCTTGTTTGCACTCTTTGCTTGGCCTTGTCCATTAACCTCGGCCCTCGGCCTTTCTTATCATCGGGGGTCAAAACCCACTTCCGTATCATTCCCGCCCCCTTTAAGAATGTCCTTGTCCTCAAGGACTTGTCATCGACCATTAGTTGGGGCGTTCTTACTTCGTACACTTCGTGCGCAATTTCTTCCTCAACCACTGAAATCTCCAGCACACCTGCTTTATTCTCTTTCTGAACCTTGCCGGCCACTTCATCTCCTTTAGACTCAACCAAAGTTCCTTCATTTTTTACAAAGTCGTCGGGGTATTCATCGAATATAGGCGGTCCTTCATAGTCCGTCATCTCGCACTTGTACTTCATGACCGTTGAAAAATATTTCGAGAATTCAGATGGGAAGATGGACTCCTTACACTTTCCGTCAATCTGGCCTTCTCCTCTGTCGGACTCGCCTAATTTGTGGTCGGTTGCTCCATCCAGGTTGCGTATCTCTGACTGTTGCTGCTTGATCGTCCAACCCTCGTGCACCTCGCCTTCGACCTCAGTTTCCTTGATCTAAGCTTCCTCGACTACTTCGTCGTCCATGAGTTCATCCTCGGGGTACACGTCGAAGATAGGTGGGCCATCATATTCTGTCGAGACATGCTCGACCATGCTCGTGTATGCGCCTACTTCCTCGACGGTGACGATCTGGCCGTCCACATGCCGAACCTGCTCTATACTCGTGAGACCAAACTCCTTGGCTCTGCTATCTTTGCTTGCTTTTAACGTGACCCGGTTCTCTCCTGAGTCAAACTC